CTGGACAAACTTGTCCCATCCAACGATATAGAAAACCCAATGACTGCAGGGGACCAGTGGGCTAAGCAGGACTAGTGAGGTGTATAGTACTTTAAATCAGTTTTTAATGTCACAAAGGTTTTTTTTTTTAATCCTAGGTCTCCATGGTAACTTGTGCTGTGGCACTAACCTGCTCCAGACAGGTCATGTTTAGAGTTTTGGATTTAAATCGGATGTAAGAAGTGTCTCCCTTTAACCAAATTGTTTCCTGAACGTCACACACAACGTCTGGTTTATCAGTGGGACTGGAAGAACCTTGTAGCTTTTTGCAAAAATGGTAAAATGAGGCTGGAGTTCTCCAGGTTTCAGTGGAGAACAGTAGGAGGGTTACAGACATCCTGTTTCTTTACCTGCCTTTAGAGAAGCCCTGTGCCTTTCCCACCAACACAGCACTTCACACCGTGTTCCCATTGCGCCTGTCTTTGTATATTTTTCGACACAACAACTCTTATCTTGACCAAACTGCAACACACACACAGTTACAGACAGAATTCCAATATTCCCTGATGACAATTCATCTCAGTTTCATCACATTTTTCCAGAATGCTGGACAGACTGGTTTGAGGGAGATGACCCCTCTGCTGCTAGAGGCTGGGAAACAAAGAGAACCCTGGAAAGATCTGCCTTAAACCAGCAGGTACATTCAGTGTGGCTGCAGCACGCAATGTGATTCACAAGTAAGCACAAATAAAAATAATGCGTTGCCTTTGTTATTGTATAAATTTGAGATTATAATCTGATGGATCACCAAAGCGAGACATGAACGTCTGTAACAGGTTTCATTGTGATCTATCCCACACCGGTCCAGACTTTTCACTAAAACCTGCAAATATCAACTTGCTGGTGGCGGCTGAACAAAAGTCAGGTTGGACATTTTGATGGCCAGTGTCTTTTAGCCTGAACCACTGTACTGGACCAGTTGGCAGATTGCATTGCCATTCTTTGAGTCATGGCACCAGCATGGTTAAAAAGGGCAAATAGTTAAGTGGCTGTTTTTAATTAGGTTGTTTTTGTTAATTACCAAATTGATTCCTTTCTTTTTTTTT